CGAAAACGGTAAGATCCAAACTATTCTCTCCGTTGATGTTTTTGGTGCTATTAGATCCCTAGCTCAGTTTAGGTTAACCGGTGCCCAAAAAGACTACATCGTTGTCGGCTCCGACTCTGGTCGCATCGTCATTCTCGAATATAACAAGGAGAAAAATGTGTTCGACAAAATTCACCAGGAAACTTTCGGGAAATCTGGAAGTCGTAGAATCGTCCCGGGGCAGTATTTAGCAATTGACCCAAAAGGTCGCGCTGTTATGATTGGTGCTTGTGAAAAGCAAAAGCTCGTTTATGTTCTTAACAGAGATACGGCTGCGAGGTTAACTATTTCTTCTCCATTAGAGGCACACAAGTCACACACAATTACTTACTCCATAGCAGGGGTTGATTGTGGGTTCGATAATCCTATATTTGCTGCTATAGAGTTGGATTATTCAGAGGCCGATCAGGATTCCACCGGTCAGGCTGCAAACGAGGCTCAAAAACATCTTACCTTCTATGAACTAGATTTGGGGCTTAATCATGTTTCAAGGAAATGGTCTGAGCAGGTTGATAATGGTGCTAACATGCTGGTAACTGTCCCTGGTGGTGGTGATGGTCCAAGTGGTGTCCTTGTTTGTGCTGAAAATTTCGTCATCTACAAGAATCAAGGTCATCCAGATGTTCGGGCAGTGATTCCTAGAAGGGCAGATCTGCCTGCTGAACGTGGGGTTCTTATAGTTTCAGCCACCATGCACAAACAAAAGTCAATGTTCTTCTTTCTTCTCCAAACAGAGTACGGGGATGTCTTCAAGGTCACACTTGATCATGATAACGAACGAGTTACAGAGTTAAAAATAAAGTATTTTGATACCATACCTGTCTCATCTTCAATGTGTGTCATGAAACTAGGGTTTCTATTTGCTGCATCAGAATTTGGGAACCATGCTCTGTATCAATTCCAAGCCATTGGAGCCGACCCTGATGTAGAGTCATCATCAGCTACATTAATGGAAACCGATGAAGGATTCCAACCAGTGTTCTTCAAGCCTAGAGGTCTTAAAAACCTTGTTAGAATCGACCAAGTTGAAAGCTTAATGCCCATTATGGACATGAAAGTTGTAAATCTTTTCGAAGAAGAAACTCCTCAAATTTTTACCCTTTGTGGTCGGGGCCCACGTTCATCTCTTAGAATACTAAGACCAGGGTTAGCCATCAGTGAAATGGCTGTCTCACAACTTCCTGGTGTCCCAAGTGCAGTATGGACTGTGAAGAAGAATGTGAACGATGAATTTGATGCTTACATTGTGGTCTCATTTGCAAATGCAACACTTGTTCTTTCCATTGGTGAAACTGTTGAAGAAGTTAGCGACAGTGGGTTTCTTGATACTACACCTTCACTTGCTGTTTCATTAATAGGCGATGATTCTTTAATGCAAGTACATCCAAGTGGTATTAGACATATAAGAGAAGATGGGCGTATAAACGAATGGAGAACACCTGGAAAAAGAACTATTGTGAAAGTCGGATCAAACAGACTTCAAGTTGTTATTGCATTAAGTGGAGGTGAGATTATATACTTTGAAGTAGACATGACTGGACAGTTGATGGAAGTTGAAAAGAACGAAATGTCGGGTGATGTGGCATGTTTGGATATAGCTCCTGTTCCTGAAGGAAGACAAAGATCCCGGTTTCTTGCAGTTGGATCATATGATAAAACCATCAGAATCTTGTCTTTAGATCCTGATGACTGTATGCAGGTTTTAAGCTTACAGAGTGTCTCTTCACCTCCTGAATCACTTCTGTTTCTTGAAGTTCAAGCTTCTATAGGTGGTGAAGATGGTGCAGATCATCCTGCAAGTTTGTTTTTAAACGCGGGTTTACAGAGTGGGGTTCTTTTTAGGACAGTGGTGGACATGGTGACAGGTCAGCTTTCAGATGCCAGATCCCGATTTCTAGGGCTTAGAGCTCCTAAATTGTTTTCTATTTTGGTGAGAGGGAGACGTGCTATGCTTTGTTTGTCTAGTAGACCATGGTTAGGTTATGTTCACCAGGGTCACTTTCTTTTAACCCCTCTTTCATATGAAACCCTAGAATATGCAGCTTCTTTTTCATCCGATCAATGTGCTGAAGGTGTTGTTGCGGTTGCTGGTGATGCTTTAAGGGTTTTCACAATCGAAAGATTAGGTGAAACTTTTAACGAAACTGCTATTCCCTTAAGGTACACTCCAAGAAAATTTGTGTTTCATCCTAAAAAGAAACTTTTGGTGACGATTGAAAGTGATCAAGGGGCGTTTCCGGCAGAATTACGCGAAAGTGCGAAAAAGGAGTGTTTTGAAGCAGCGGGTCAAGGGCAAAATGGTAAAATGGAGATTGAAAACGGTAATGATGATGAAGATAAAGACGACCCGTTATCCGATGAACAATACGGGTACCCGAAAGCTGAAGCAGATAAATGGGTATCTTGTATTAGGGTTCTTGACCCAAAGTCAACTGAAACTACTTGTTTATTGGAGCTTCAAGATGATGAAGCAGCTTTTAGTCTTTGTACTGTGAATTTTCATGATAAGGAGTATGGAACACTTTTAGCTGTGGGGACAGCAAAGGGTTTACAGTTTTGGCCTAAAAAATCTTTAGTTGCTGGATATATTCATATTTATAGATTTGTAAAAGATGGAAGATCACTTGAACTTTTACATAAAACACAAGTTGATGGGGTCCCACTTGCTTTGTGTCAGTTTCAAGGAAGATTGCTTGCTGGAATCGGATCTATTCTCAGGCTTTATGATTTAGGGAAAAGAAGACTGCTTAGAAAATGTGAAAACAAGTTGTTTCCAAACACAATCAATTCCATTCATACGTATCGTGATCGAATCTATGTGGGAGACATTCAAGAGGTTTCTTGTTCAACTTTATCATTTTATATTTTTTTCAAGTCTTGTTTCTTTTTCTGACATCTGAATGTTTTTTGTTTTTTTCTTTATGTTTCAGTCATTTCACTATTGCAAATACAGACGCGATGAAAACCAGCTGTATGTATTTGCTGATGACTCTGTTCCAAGGTGGCTAACAGCAGCATACCATGTGGACTTTGACACCATGGCAGGTGCAGACAAATTTGGGAACATTTACTTTGTTCGTTTGCCACAAGATGTTTCAGATGAGATTGAAGAAGATCCAACTGGTGGGAAGATTAAATGGGAACAAGGGAAGCTTAATGGAGCCCCGAATAAAGTTGAGGAGATTGTTCAGTTTCATGTTGGTGATGTGGTCACATGTTTGCAGAAAGCATCTTTGATTCCAGGTGGCGTGGAGTGTGTCATGTATGGAACTGTCATGGGTAGTCTAGGGGCATTATTGGCATTTAGCTCGCGTGATGATGTGGACTTCTTTTCACATTTGGAGATGCATATGAGACAGGAGCATCCGCCTTTGTGTGGGAGAGACCATATGGCGTATAGATCTGCTTATTTTCCTGTTAAGGTAATCATCTATCAGTTGTACTTAGGGACCTATGAAGTGTTTGTTTATGCTTGTGACACATTAAAAATGTGGATTATTTGTGCAGGATGTGATTGATGGAGACCTGTGTGAACAATTTCCAACATTGCCCTTGGATATACAGAGGAAAATTGCGGATGAATTGGATAGGACTCCAGGAGAAATTATGAAGAAATTGGAAGAAGTTAGAAATAAGATTGTTTAAGATAAAGGTAAATGGGTATATTTGTCTTTTTTATTTATACAATCTGGTGACTGAACCTGGGTTTTGATGCATGCAGATGATGATGCTATATGAGAGCCAAAAGCATAGGGTGACTATACGAGGTTAAATTGGAATTGACTTTGATTTTATTATAGCAGCCTTACCTTCTATCCATTAGATGTTTTCTTGTAATTATACAGATGTTTTTATGGAATTTACTTAATTGTTTGTGAATCCTTGTAGAATCGTGACTTATTTTAGTTCTGTGTTTTGTTAAAGAACCAAGGTTAAAGATTTTGGCTCTGTAGTCTGTAGTGAAGTGCATTTATCTGTAACACTCTTTTTAAACGTTTTCAATGGTGATTGTTTACTTACCTCTGGAATGCTCATATCTGCTTTATTGTTGGTGTAATGGAATGGTTGGAAGAATCAGCAAACTTTGATTTGGAATTGAGCAAGAAGTTATTAAATCCATGATTCCAGTTTAAATCGTAATAATATTGGGAAATAATTACATGTAAAAAGGATGATAATTCCATGAATGATGTTATATGAGTGACAATAAGTAAAACTTTCATTTTTATATGCAGAAAAACATATGCGGGTTGGTTGTTCTGTAAAGAGTAAGGTTAAATGGAAGAGTAAAATGTGGATGTTAACCATGATCAAATGTATGGTATCGAAACCCACATGATGGAATAAGTATGTGCACATTATATTATGTTATGTATGAAAGACATGTTCTGGTATAATTTCTCAACTTTCATTATGTATAAAAATGTTAGGGTAAATGAATTTTTATATTAAGATATCATATTTTGCATATCAATGAGTTGTGAACTGTGAATACCTAAACCTAAGATAATGAGTTAGGATCATCTATTTAATAGCTTTTCCACTTTTGAGTCGGACTGCTACAACCGTTGAGCTATACTACTTAGGGAGTCCAATAAAGCAAAGATTTAGAGTAGGACTGCTCTCCACTTTAGGGACAGCCTTTTAGTCCTTGAAAGCGAGTTCTTTCCCGCAGCAAATTTACATTTGTTAGTAATGTTCGGGCTCATATCAAAAAGAAACTAACTTACACGATCAAACTATATAATTAAACATGCTCATTTTTTGATATAGGTATAATCTTAATTCTTAACTAATACATGTTTAAATACATGTATTATGATATATTCGGTTAATATATATATGTTCTAAGGGGCCGAAATGGGCTTTAAGTTTACACCAGATTAGACAAAAGGGTTTGGGCCCATACTTGTATTATATACAAAAGCCTCGTTACACAATACTTCTTCGTCTTTTTTAGATATTAGGGTTTTGAGAGAACTCTCCATTGCAGCTGCGGCTCCTAAAACTAACGAATAATCCATGGGTAAGTTCCTTCTTTTCCATCGACGTTTTCATTATTGATTAGTATACATTTCGTTTTTTGATTTATTCATCATTGGTTACGTGAAACGCAGCTCGGATCAAAGTTCATGAGTTGAGGGACAAAACGAAGGCTGATTTGTTTGCTCAGTTGAAGGATCTTAAGGCTGAGCTCGCTCTTCTCCGTGTCGCCAAAGTCACCGGCGGTGCTCCCAACAAGCTCTCCAAAATGTAATTTCTCTCTTCTGACATTTCTCACTTACACTCTGTCTACAAGTAACTCGTTTCGATCAACGTTAAATGTACATCATCTGGATATGAAATTGGTTACGCATTTAATTCGATATCAGGACAGAAGAAATGATCAATTAAAAACTACATTTTTCGATCCACGGTTTTTAAATCGATTCTTATCAATTACTGAATGGTTCTTAAGTTTCAACAATCTGCTTTTCGTTATTTTCCATTAAAGATTGTTCAAATATGAACTTATGATGTTTGGTATTAGTTTCAATATATTATTTGTTGTTGATGATTTTGTATAATCATGGTTGCAGAAAAGTGGTGAGGACATCAATTGCACAGGTGCTGACTGTTATTTCACAGACACAGAAAGCAAAACTCAGGGAAGCCTACAAGAACAAGAAATACTTACCTCTTGATTTGCGCCCTAAGAAAACCAGAGCCATTCGCAGGCGTTTAACCAAGCATCAGGTATCATTCAGTGACTTTTCTATTATGAAATTGTGATCATACACAAAAAATTGCTTTGGAATTCATATTATAAACATATTGTAATGTTTACCTTTTTGATTAATTTAGGTTTCTTTGAAGACTGAAAGGGAGAAGAAAAAGGAGAAGTACTTCCCATTGAGGAAATATGCTATCAAGGTTTAAGGGTGGAGATAATCACCCATTTAGGATGAGTTTTTAAGTTTTGATGTTAAACTCAATTTACATATATTTGATGTTTTGGTGAAGGGATTGAATTTTGGAGCTTGCTTTTGATATTGAAATTATAATGTTGCTTTCTCAAATCTTCCTGGCTTCGTTTTTTCCTCCTATTTTGTTACCTTACCTTGAACTTGTTATTAAATTTTTTATGCATTCATATTAGAAATTGTTGTAGGTTTTTTTGGATTTTATTCGGGTTTAAAAGCTTCTACAGATCAAGGATCACAAAAGTGTGTTCTTGTTTTTAAAGGTCCATTTCAAGTTTTTAAAGGGGAATATGCAACACACAGAGCCAGCCACCTCTATCTTCCTCTAATCACCGTTGTAAATACAACGTTGCTAATAGTTATTGGAGTTCATTACTTGCTTTACTAAATGTGTTATACGTTGATTCATCAAACAAATAATAGTCCTCTTTGATTCATTATTGCTCACATGCACCATTAATGACTTATTCGATGATAATTATATATCGGAAAAGGTGGTTTTAGGGACATCCACATTACGTCTCCATAAATTCAAAAATAGTTTCTTGCAAAGGATTTAAGTTTGCACATTATATGATAACTTATAAAAAATATAGTATAACATATAATGTGCAAACTAAAACCATAACATCGTCTTCAAAAAGACCCAGATTGTTTTTAATAAAAAACCTAGAAATTGTCTTTTACAAAACTGCCTTTCTTAAAAAATAAAAACAAACATCATCATCAATAAAACCCATATTCATCTTTAGTTGGCGTACTTCAAATGACGAAACAAAAATATAAAACCAAACGTGAAATCCAAAACAAAAAATCTAAAACCAGAAAAGAAAAAGAAGAAAAAAAGAAAAAGAAGAAAGAAAGATCGAAACAAACTCTAAAAACCAAGCATCCACCATTCAAAAAGTGATATCACCTATGGATGAACAATTAGTATCAAATCCTGATGATACCATACCTAATTTAAAAATATGAGATAGCATTGAAAACTAATACCATTACCGGTATCCGTAATATTAATTGGGTTCGGTACTCGGATGAGGATAGGATGGGGTGGCTGATCCAAAGTGAGTATCCAAAGTTGAATTTTATACTCATTTTTATCTTCACATTTTTCAAAAAATGTTCGGTTTTATCTTTCTACTGATGATAACAGGTTTTTTAGGTTACCATTATATTTACTTCGCAAAAAAAAAAAAACCTTAAGTTTACAATTTTTTTTTATATTTTTTTTACCCAAAATATTTTTTTTCATAATATACATAATCATGCAGAAAAATCGTATTTATATACGAAACAAATGTTTAATTAAATATTGTATTTACATTTTTTTAATGTTATATATATATATATATATATATATATATATATATATATATATATATATATATATATATATATATATATATATATATATCTGTGTGTGTGTCTCTATGTGTGTGTACAAGGTTATACCATTTAAAAAGTAAAAAAAAAATTCTAGAATTATGAATACGTATTTTATAAATATAGTTTTTAGAAGTATAAATACATAAGTTTATATTTTTAGAAATATTAATATGTATCTATACTTCTAAAAATATACGTATTTGTAGTTCTAAAAACATATTAATTTGTTTTTTTTTTGTTTGTTAGTTTTTTTTTCTATATATTTTAAATGGTTTATCCAGGAAAAAAACCTATATATATATATATATATATATAACATTAAAAATGTAATAACTGATTATTTCGAGTCAATAAAAATTACACTTGTTCAAGTAAAAGTCAAACACATAAAGTAAATCATGATATTTAATAGTATATACATAGTTTTCGGTTTTGAGAATCTAATCCCATACCAAAACCGAAATCACCTCCTTTATGGAAGTGTTGGCTGAAATCTCTTCATAGGAAAAAGCCAAGACCGAAATCCCTAACATACTTATCTCTTGGATCGAAATCAACTCCCATGTGAAGCTAGGACCGAAAATACCCCAAGAATCAAGTAATATGACCGAAAACACTTTGTTTAAGGCCCATTAAGGCCGAAATCGACTCCTATATATAAGTGTATAACCGAAAACTAACCTCATTTCTCATTTTCAACACCGAAAACCTTCCCATTTTGCTCTCAAAACTTATCTGTAAACACCATATATTCATAAGATTTTGCCCGGATTTCCTTAAACTATTCATATTTTTCTCAAGAACATTCATATCATCTTAAATCTTCATATTTCCACCCAAGAACACCAAGAACATCAAGAACACCTTCAAATAATTCCTAAGGATTTTTGTAAGTATTTCTTACATAATCTAGTGTTTTCTAACACTTTAAATTATTATTTCATAGATTTAAATATGATATCATGTATAATTATTATTATGATACGACTATTCACACGAGTCCTAACCCAAGGATTATCGCTACCACTTCGTATCCAAACAAGAACACACATTCGAGACGAGTTCATACCCCTAAGTTTTCATTATTTTTCAATGTTTTAGGAGGGGAATACAAGTAAAACACAAGGAATATCGTGTTAAACATTCAAACAATTTCAAACTACTTTTAAACTGTCTCAAGCTATTCCAAATTATTTCATCTGTTGTTTTTACCTATATATATATATATATATATATATATATATATATATATATATATATATATATATATATATATATAAGATTCAACTGGCTTAGGACTGGTGTTTTCGGCTTAACTCATGTTCCTTGTTTGGTTGTGGGTTTAGGGTAGAATTATTTGTCCGACTGCCTTTTAAATCTCAATTATATATGCCTTATATATATGAGTATAAAACTTTAACCCTTGTGTAACATGTTGAGCAAAGAGGTATTTTCATAAATATTTTTATTACATACAGAACACACTTATAAACTATAATAGGTATAATTTATGGAACATACATACTACTCTACTAGTTCAAGAAACAATACAAGAACATACTTATTAAACTATAATAGGTATAGTCCAATTTGAATTACTGAAAGCTTTGAGAATCAAGGATGACTTTGAAGACAAAACAATCATTGACCAGGACTTTGTTTTATGAAACGAAGTAAATGTTGAGCTACTTGAAAATGAGATTGTCTTGGAGAAGACATTCCTTGACTTAAACAATGAACCGAATATGCAATGTCTGGTCTTGTTATAGTAAGTTATAACAATCGTCCAACTAAACGACGAAATTGAGAAGGATCATCAAGAAGATCTCCTTCAAAATCAGAAAACTTGTGTCGTGGATCCATGGGATAAGAGACTAGTTTTGCAGCTAACATGCCTGCATCTTGTAATAAATCCAATACATACTGGCGTTGAGAGATAACAATTCCTTCAGGAGATTGTGCAATTTCAAGACCCAAGAAATGTTTCAATTTTCCAAGATCTTTCAAACGAAAACGATCACTCAATCTCTGTTTGATATCATCAATTGCTTGAATAAGAGCACCAATTATAACAATGTCGTCAACATATACAAGCAAAGCCACAAAATTACCATCTAGTCCTTTCGAAACAAAGAAAAATCTGCTTGAGATTGAGTAAATCCTTCTGAAATGAGAAAAGAAGAAAACTTTGCATACCACTGTCTTGAAGCTTATTGAAGGCTATAAAGTGATTTTTCTAATTTGCAAATTAAAGGAACTTTTGATTTTGATTGTTATCTTTGGAAATACCCTTGTGGAAACTGAATATATACTTCCTCTTCTAAACCTCCATTTAAGAACGCGTTGTTAACATCTAACTGAATCAAAGGCCAACATTTTTTAGCAACAATTGTTAACATCATCTTAACTGTTACCAACTTTGCAACAGGTGAATAAGTATCCAAAAATCAACACCTTCATCTTAGTTAAACCCTTTTGCGACAAATCTAGCCTTGTATCTATCAATAGAGCCATATGCCTTTCTTTTGAGTTTAAACACCCACTTGCAACCCAAAGGTTTTCTATCTGGAGGTAGGGGGTACTATTATCCATGTGTTGTTTAATTCCAATGCAAGAATTTATTCCTCCATTGCTTGTTTCCATTCAGGAATTAAAGCCGCTTCTTTGTAATTGGAAGGTTTTGTTTCAGTTGAAATGGAAATAGTGTATGTCATATGTGTGTTGGACAATTGAGAATAAGATAAGACATTAGAAAGAGGATATTTAATGAAAGAAGGAACAAAAGAAGGATTTGTAGATTCCATTAAATTGCAATGGTAATCTTTAAGGTATGTAGGAGGACCCTTATTTCTGATTGGTCTTTGATGAACAATAGGATCAGGTGTATCTTGTTGACCGAAAGGAATTGAACTTTCAATGGAATCCAATCCAGGAATGGAATTAGAATCATTTATAGGATTGGAATCATGTGTATATGGCTCATTTTTTGTGTTATTTGAATGGTTGTTAGGTATAGAAGAATCAATATCAAATTGAATTGGTTTAGGGATAACATGGGAAATGAAAGGATTTTCAAAATGAGTGGAATTGGAATGTTGAAAGGGAAATACATCTTTGATGTGTGTGGAATGTACTAGTTTTAATCCTACTAACTTAAACACAAAGACAAACACACGAAAGGCAGTGTACCTATTAATTAGCAGTTTAGTTTAGGTAAGTAGGGTATCGAACACATGGAACGGTAAACAATTAAAATTTCTACTAATATTATCTAAATAAAACAAGTAAAAGGGATTTTTCTCTAGTTTTTCAAGACTAGAAACTTAAGCAAATACTAAACACTTAAACAAAAGGAAAATTAACAACTAAAAGAGGAACAAAAGACAACTAGATCCAATCAAAATAAAGAGACTTCTGTTTAGATTCGATTTACTTATTCCTATGGTTGATTTCGTGATAAGTGCAATGGATTAATATATCAATGGTTATCGATTTCTAATATGATTAGGTTCATGTTCACTATTACAAATCCTTTAGCAAACAAGTTAATTCAAACAGTGATCAGTTGATTAAACTAACAAGTTTCCTAGTGTTCAGTTCGGATCAAGTAAGACTTGTAATATTAGTTAACTAAATTTATCAATTCAATCAACTCTTTTGTGGTTGTTCATCACACAAGCTTACACATTAACTTACTTATTTTCTAGTTAATTCTAGGTTCATATTCACTAATACTAGGCA